AGGAAGGTATCATTGATGCAATACACAGGAAATTCAGAAATGCAACTGAGGATAAGAGCAGTGGTGGTGGAACTGCTGGGTACTGGCGACGTGCTAGAGATGTTCTCTCAGAGAGAGGATCTCTTTCCCGAGTCCCATCAAGATCTCCATCACCTTCCACGCAGGTCTCACGGTGCCAAAGTTTTGCAGAAAGACCAGCTCAACCACTTCCTCTTCCTGGTGCAAGAGGTAAAACCGTTGCCCGCTCTCATTCTGGAGTGAGTGGTTCTCCAAAGCCAGGTTCCGATGCAATATCCAAGCATTTGCACTTATTACCCCTTCCAAGGCCTGGGAATGTTTCTAATAGGTTGGACCGGGTAAATGTTGAAGTGGATATAGGCACTGCTTCTGTATCTAGTGATAGTTCAAGTGACAGTGAAGATCAGTCAGATTCACGTCTCCTTAGTCCCTTGACATCAGACTATGAAAATGGGAACAGAACTGCTGCAAATAGCCCTTCTAGGTGAGGACTGCGTTTCTTCTTTAATGTTCTGTTTTTTTTTTTTTTGTAGTTTAGTGTGTAGTCTCTCTGACTTAATTTGTCTATGGATGGTGCCAAAAGCATGATGCAGAAGGATAGGTCTCCGCTTCTTAGTCGAAAGAACTCAGGCGAGATGTTGAAGCATGCCGACTTTTCACTGAATAACAATCAGAAACCATCTGTATCGTCTAGAAGGGCGCATTTAAGCTCTCATGTACAAAATTTACAGATACCTAACAGAGGTGTACTTTTCAGTGCCCCTGACAGCTCAATGTCGAGTCCATCCAGGAGCCCAATCAGGTTATTTGGAGCAGAACAAGTTGTAGTAAAAACTGGTTTATTATTACAGGGGAAGAATTATGCAGATGTAGTAGGTTTACTAGGATCTGGGCATTGCTCAAGTCCAGGTTCGGGTTATAATTCTGGGCAAAACTCAATAGGTGGAGATATGTCAGGGCAGTTATTCTGGCCAAACAGTAGATGCAGCCCTGAGTGCTCCCCAATACCGAGTCCCCGAATGACAAGTCCCGGGCCGAGCTCCAGAATACAGAGTGGGGCTGTGACACCTCAGCATCCACGGGCTGGTGGGGGTTTGGCAGAGTCTCCTAAGGGAAGGCACGAGGACTCTAAGAAACAGAGCCATCGATTACCTGTTCCACCAATAACAATCTCTAATACTTGTCCTTTCTCACCTGCTTATTCCGCCGCAACCTCTCCTTCACTACCACGGAGTCCCAATAGGGCAGAAAACCCTACAAGTCCTGGTTCACGCTGGAAGAAGGGCCGTCCATTAGGGCGAGGCACGTTTGGGGATGTATTTCTTGGATTTAACAGGTCTGTATGACTATGGCCTCAGATCAAGCTCTAAGCATGATGATTGTGGTGCTTGCCATTTCTCATAGATGCTTCTTCAACATTTCACTGATGGAGATTATATTATGTTTACTTAGTGAAAGTGGGGAGATGTGTGCAATGAAGGAAGTAACTCTATTTTCAGATGATGCAAAATCAAGAGAGAGTGCTCAGCAGCTGGGACAAGTAGGGGATGTTTCCTTTTCTTCCTTTCGATTGTCTGTGATTCCCTTTTTTTATCTGACTTAAACATTGTACTAAATTTTATCTATCTGGCAGGAAATTGCTATGCTGAGTCGCTTAAGGCATCCTAATATAGTGCAGTACTACGGATCTGAAACGGTATATGTTCTTTTGAACTTGAAAATCATAAATCTTTCTTTGGAAAGGATGTTTCAACATAGGATTTGACATTCGAGAATTGACTGGCAATCAGTGGCGTTGTTTGTTTTAGCTGAACTTGTTACCTTTACTTACATTGAGCAGGTGGATAACAAGCTTTATATTTACTTGGAGTATGTTTCTGGTGGCTCCATTTATAAACTGCTTCAAGATTATGGTGCATTTGGTGAAATAGCCATCCGTACTTACACTCAGCAAATATTATCCGGGCTTGCTTATTTGCATGGTAAAAACACTGTACATAGGTGCGTATCCTTTGTTAGTGGTCTAATGCATAATAATCCCAACTTACAAGTCATTGGAACATATTTTGCCAACTGATGCATGTTTTCATTTTTTGTGTAGAGACATAAAGGGAGCAAACATTCTGGTGGATCCAAATGGGCGTGTCAAAGTGGCAGATTTTGGGATGGCAAAGCATGTAAGAGATAAATAGTTTTGATGTATTTGAGTGTATGAAATTGCATATGTAATCTACTTATTTAAAACCAGCATGCACATGGAATGTTAAAGTAGTAGCACTAATAAACAAACAAATAGAAAGAGCTCAATAGATCAAAGAGATGCAATCTCAAATACATGGGAACACGGAGTATTTGAAAATGAATTTGAGGAAAGTGGGTTTCATTTTGGTGGTTTGATTGCCTGTGCAAATGCACTGAATTATACAATGGTTTTACAAATACAACTCCAAGTAATAGAATGCAAATTGAATAGCATAGAATCTAGACTAATAACATTCATTTACAGGCCGGTATACCAAACCAAACACACCTTGCCTCGTTCTCAGAAATACAAAAATGATGTTATCTTTCCTGACATTGGTTCTCTACTTGGCTGAACTATTCTGCAGATTAGTGGCCAATCATGTCCATTATCATTCAAAGGAAGTCCATACTGGATGGCACCTGAGGTCAGTGTTTTATTATTGTCTCCTTATTGTACATTTATTTTTGCTTACTAATGCTCCAGTTGGTAATTTGTTTCCAAAATTTCTCTAGTTGTTTCAGGTGATTAAGACTTCAAACGGTTGTAATCTTGCCGTTGACATATGGAGCCTGGGGTGCACTGTTTTGGAGATGGCAACTGGAAAACCTCCTTGGAGCCAGTATGAAGGGGTTAGTATAACATGAGCTCAGAATTGCTTGTAGTTATTCCAGATGCTTTAGAAGTGAGGAGCTGATTTACCTGACTTTTAACCTTTGCTTGTCTTTTTTCCTCATTGGAAGGTTGCTGCTATGTTTAAGATTGGAAACAGTAGAGAGCTTCCTGCAATTCCGGATCATCTATCAGAAGACGGGAAGGACTTCATTAGGCAATGTCTACAACGGAATCCATTGCATCGCCCAACATCTTCTCAACTCTTAGAGCACCCGTTTGTGAAGAATGCCACACCTCCGGAGAGGCTAATCATGACGGCTGAGGTCCCAGAACCGACCACAACTGGAAGATTAATGGTACTCCAATATATTGCCTGCCCTCTGCTGTCTTTGCCTCATCGATTTGTTTTTGTCATTGCTTTCCTTGTGGCTAAAATGACTGAACATTTTCATGCTATTGTACTTGTTTTTCCCTGTATTTCAATTATGTCCATGATCATAACCTGGTTCCATTTCACCCAACAAGGTCGCTTTATTTCTCTTGTGGCCGTTGTTTGTCATTAACTGACTACTGGGATGCAATCTTCAATTAGGGCATTGGACATGCGAGAAGCTTTGACACGGAAGCAATTCCTATTCATCAATCTAGAGTCTCAAGAACTGGTTCAGGATTCAGGTTTTCTCCTCTTTCCAGCCTTGCTATGCAGTTATTCTTGTTTGTGTGCTGAGCCCGAGTCTCAAGAATTGGTTGAACAACATTCTTACCGAAACTTGAGATGCACAACCATCATATTTATTTTCTTATCGAACTTATTGAATTTGTGAAACTTGCGAAACTTTAAAATCAAGGGATATTGCCTACAACCAGTAAGTGATGTTTTAAGTTTTCTTCATTTGTGTGCGCATGCTCTCTCCTAAGCTCCAGTAGCTAAAATGAGAACTCTCAACTGCAACTAGTTGGTTTTTGTTTCATCATATGATAAAGTTGCTGTGTTTCGAACAGTTTCCATAACAATCTTATTCTGTTTCCCATTTTCCAGTGACGTCCATGCGCCGAGGAACAACTTATCATGCCCAGTTTCCCCTATTGGGAGCCCTCTTCTGTATCCAAGATCACCACAACAACATACGAGTGGAAGGATGTCTCCATCTCCTATATCCAGCCCTCTTACCGCCTCAGGTTCATCCACACCCCTTACAGGTGGCGCCGTCCCATTTCATCATCAGTCATGGCAGCCGGCATCTTACATCCATGAAACTCCAAGGTCTCAAACTGGCTTCTACACCGGTAGTAGCAGTAGTACTCCCTATCAGGAACCATCCAAAAACCACCCTGATAAGTTCCGAGGTTTGTCTCAAACCTCCCACATGTTCCGGGACATGATTTCAGTAGATAATAATGGTGGTTTTGGGCACCATTTTGGACGATTTGGTCAACACCAGGACCTTGGTGAAGGTCTTCCAACTTCACAGCCTGTGTTGGCTGACCGCGTTTCTCAGCAACTGCTAAGGGATAGTGTTCGGTTAAAGCCATCCCTTGATCTGAATCCTGGCTTCACAATGCATCATCATAGGCATTCCTGAGTAGCAATTTGCAGAGTTTTTATGCTTCTCTTGAGGCTAGAAATTTTCAGAGGCTACAAAGAGCCGGGCAAGGATTTTTAGAACAGGCATTTTGCAGAAGAATCCACTAATTACTTTCAACCCATAACAAAGCGATGTGGAAATTCGAACAACTGATAGATGAGAAACAAATTTGCTTACTGAGACCTGACATGTTAGCAGCAGCTCAGATATTATTCGTAGGCAACTGTAAATCTTATAATACACTCTTGAAGAATACAGGAGTCTAGAAAAGTTCCTGTCTGAACATGTTGTACTCTTCAATTTGTAACTGTAACCATATCTGGTTGGAAGAAGTACAGCTGCCTCAGTTGAAAGAAAAGAGGCCTGTATATAGAGTTGCTCTGAATTGGGGATATATTATTCATGTTCTTGCCTGATAGATCAAGCTCATGCTAAATTCCCAAAGCTTCTTAGCCAGTTTCATGTCTTTCCCTAGGGAAGCCAGTTTCATGTCTTTCCCTAGGGAGTTGGGTTCGGCGAAATTACAGTCCATGAAGTGTTTACCAGTAACACCTTACTTGAGGGTGCAGCTCCAGAAAACAGCTTGTAGCAGCTCCCTGTAAAAAAACAAGTTAAAGAGTTGAAGCCAATGGTTCAGTAAACAGGGTTTAGCTACTGGAGTTGAAGAATGATGGACCTGTTCAGCATTCTTCAGTGCAAATTTAACAAACACGTTTGCAAGCCCTCCAAAAAACTGGGACTCTCGTTAGGGTTTGTTAGAAACCGATCTCTGTAGGGTTTCTCTATTTATTAATATAATAATTATTAGGGTAATTATCAATAAGGTTAGTAGTCATTTAATAGAATTAGGTTTATTGTTAGGGTTTTCTAGTATTTCCCTATATATATGTACTTTGGGTCATTCGTCAGATTAAGTAGAAATTAATAGAAAAGTCCTCCTTCCCCAAATCCCTAATCTCTCTCTCAAATCTCGTCTATCCTTCTCCTTAGAGGCTTCGGCCGTTCTTTCTGTTCTTCCCCAATTCTGTTCCTAATCCCAATTCTCCTTCCAAATCCCTAATTCTATCTTCTCGATCCCTAAATTCCCAAATATCACCCAATATGAATCCCGTTAGAAACTTTGTTTCTAACATTTGGTATCAGAGCCCGGTTCGAGAATTGAGTTCACCACAACTCTCAACCGGGGACGATTTCTACAACTAGTTCGATGATGAGCTCTTCAAAGCTCTCGAACTTGTCGTGGGCAGAATTGCGGGACAGAGCCCGTCGCATCGGCCGGCGTTGGATGCCCGAAGAGCCGGCGGTCGAGCTGTCTGGCGCCGCCCCAATCGCGCGCCTCCCTTCGTCGGCCGAGACCGCACCGCGCGCTGGAGGAGGTCAGGCCGAGCAGCAGCGCCCCGCGGTAGTCGAGGCCGCGCCGCGAACAGGAGAGGAGAGGGCCGAGCGACGCCCCGTGGTGCCCGCCGCAATCGGATGTCGTGGGCTGTCCGAAGGGTCGTCGGCCGCGCACCTGGTGGTCTGCTCATCGTTGGGAAGAGAGACGATATACAGAGGCGATGAACTTCCTCATGCATCCTCGAAGATGGAGGAGAGCCCAGAGTCGAGCTTAAAGGACATACGCTTGGTTGCTGCCGGAGGCTACGAAAAATAAGGGGTCGCCGAAGGCAGAGGCTGTGAGGAGAGAGGACGGCGGTAATCTGCTCCAGAGCGAGCAGCTGCCTCTTCTTTCCTTCCACGAAGCTCGACCAAGCCTCTCTCGTGGCCCAACGTTGCTGCTCGTGTGTGTTATGTGAGGATTTGCTTATGGGCTAGATAAGTGGGGAAGTGGCAGGTCACTACAGAGAGGGAAGTACAGGCCGGCGCAGATCAAGCCGGGTTGTGAGGAAGGCTGCGCTGGGCTTTCCTTGGGCCTGCCGACCCAGCTGTGTAAGCTGAAGAATGATACTTATGCTACTCCCAAAGAGAAGAGGAGCTCGAAGTTGTTTGCAAGTAGTGAGTTTAATGAAAGCTCACCCATGTTGGCGGAAGAAGAAGATCATACGGCTGCTGGGTCGCCCAACTCCCTTTCCTCATCAATGTTCGCAATAGTAAACAGAGAAGGTTACCTTGCACAAAATTGGGTTTCCACACTTGGAAGCAAGGGCGGTAGAAGAATGGGTTTCCAGAATAAATTTAGAAGGAATAAGATACTAGGAGTGTTCCCCTGCAAAATCACAAGGAGAAAGGAGGAGTGGCAGGAAACTATTGGGGATTTAGGCTCCATTTCTTTGGCACGTGTTGGGAGAAGGTGGAAGGTGAATGATGATCATCCTGGAGATGGCAGTGTGTGGTGGATGAGCTGCATTGCCACCTATGTGAAGTCCATGTTCGTGGAAGTTGCTTGTGCTCCAAGACTCGTTGAAATTTTAAAGCACAATTGGAAGAAGCGTAAGAAATGGAGGAGTCGACCACGAATTGGGCGAGAAGGTTGGAAGAAGTGGGTCAAGTGGTTCAACCTTGAGGGCAAGGTTGGTCTGAAGGGAGAGGAGATGTTAGAAACCGATCTCTGTAGGGTTTCTCTATTTATTAATATAATTATTATTAGGGTAATTATCAATAAGGTTAGTAGTCATTTAATAGAATTAGGTTTATTGTTAGAGTTTTCTAGTATTTCTCTATATATATGTACTTTGGGTCATTCGTCAGATTAAGTAGAAATTAATAGAAAAGTCCTCCTTCCCCAAATCCCTAATCTCTCTCTCAAATCTCGTCTATCCTTCTCCCTAGAGGCTTCGGCCGTTCTTTCTGTTCTTCCCCAATTCTGTTCCTAATCCCAATTCTCCTTCCAAATCCCTAATTCTATCTTCTCGATCCCTAAATTCCCAAATATCACCCAATACGAATCCCGTTAGAAACTTTGTTTCTAACAGGGTTCTGCAGAAATTATTACACAACTTTTTTTAAAGAAATTACCGTTCACTACACTGATGTCGCACAAGGTTGGTAACAATAGATCCAGGTTGAAGTGAATAAACAGTGACATTCACGCCATCTTCCTACAGTAACAAATAGAAAGTGTTAAGAATTTCTAACCATCCGCAACATGTAGTTCAAGATTCTGTACCTTGAGACGCCTTGCTAGCTCCTTCGCTTGCAGTATATTTGCAAGCTTCGACTGTCCATAAGCACGCATCCCAAAGTATCTACAAAATCATAAGAGGGGCAACGTAGTAAGAGGCTGACAAAAACCGAATCCGAATAAAAACAAACATCAGCTACTCAGATTCATCGTTAATTTTGTCAAATTGAATTCCTCCGTTGTACATGAAGATATGAGCAAGTGATCCTAGGATGACAATCCTTCCCTCCTTATTGCTTGCATGTGTCGTCTTTTTCATAGTCCCTAGCAACAAGTTAGTCAGTAGGAAATGGCCTGCACAGAAAACAGTAGTTTTAGACGCATTGACAAACTCAAGAGTATATTCTTGGTACTGGTCAGAAGCACAAGTACCCAAATGGTTTATGGTAAATTGGAGCTCAACATTGTCTTCAGAAATTGAGAAAGGACATGCCATAATGCCTGCATTGTAGCTTCAGCGACAAGTAACCCAAAAAGGAGTAAGAAAAAATGAACTCACAGTCGCCGTGACCAATAATAATCGAGTTTCTGAACTACTAAAGATCAGTTGTCCTGCCTACATGAGAATGATCAGTGGAAGGCCGGTGGAGACGTATTCAGAGGAAAATTTTCGAACCGATGCCAACGAGCTGAGATCTAACTTCATGACGTCAAGCTCAGTAGTCCTGCCTACATGGCCTGCACCGAAATTCAGATGCAAATTTTTTATGAAGCTAGAAGCTGGTTATGAAGCTAGACGTTCATGAAGTTAGATCTCAAATTTGCATCTGGTTATTGAACGTCTAGCTTCATAACCAGCGTCGACATTCCTTACAGCCATCACGACTTGAACACCTCGCAGGGCAAGAACTCGGGTCGTCTTCAGCCCAAGGCCACATGATGCTCCTGCATTTTAAACACCAACTTTTCAAACTTATGATTCAGATAAAAAGATTCAATCTTTTCCTACTTTCTAAAAGCAAGTTCGAACCAAGATGGAGAAAAACAAACCTGTAACGATGGCAGTGAGGCCAGTGCCATTGATTCCGGTCGTAACAGGGGATTCACCTGTCCTCCCGAAAACCCACATTCCAGAGAGATTCCATTAGTTCATGGTATCATCTTCGCCGTAGTTTTGTATTGGTTGTTGTAATAATAAGTTCAAGGGTGTTTAGTCATTTCTGGCATGGATTCTTTTCTTACTTGGGACCTAGCTTTCGTATGTTGTTTAAATCAGGATCAGTAGCTGCATTTGTATACACTATACAACCGAAGGCAGAAAATTCCTTTCACAGAACCAACCTTCTAATATAGCATCCAGCTCCGAGAAAGTAGAACTTTTGCTATTATTAATCAGGCAAGAAGCTTCCTTCTCCTTCCCTTTCAGGCTTCAGCACAGCACTTCAGTCTTACCAAGCACACAAGGGCATTTCATCAAACACCTTCAGGACGTGGAGTTAGAACTTAATTAATCGAACCAACAACAGGAGAATGGAAGGTGATTGCAGCACCAAATTTGTACAGTTTCTTGTTGATAGTTCAAATGTTACAGGGTCTCTCGTGATTTCTTCCATAACAGGATAAAGGAACCATCTTCCGACAGCAAATAATTGCTACATTTCCAACGCAAACTGGGAAACTAACAGAAAGTTGAAAAAGGGATACATCTCTACTACTGATCCATTAGACTGTGGAGTTTTAGGTCAGGGCTTTGGATTTGGAAGGTGGGGAAGTGTTGTGGGTGGCAATCGCAGCACTGGCTCCTCCGTCTCGATGGGGTCAGATCGGAGAATCTTCACACCATAATCGCCAATTTTCAAACAACAGAAACCCAGAAATCAACCATTTGTCTTGGAAGTTGGAATCGAATTGAATAGGAAAAAAAAAAGGAAGAGACAGAAGCGTTACTGGGTCTTGCAGAGGAGGCTTGGTGTCGTCTTGGGCAGGCCTGAAAGGAGGCTTGGTGTTGCTGTACAGCTTGTTGCTGGCTCCGACCACCGGCGATGGAGATGACGAGCTGCCGCCCCCTTTCATGATTTCTGGTACGGCTTCTGGTCGGTTCCGGTGGAGGGGTAGTCGCAAGTTTGTAGCGAAAAGTTATTAGTTTGGGTAATGTTTATTTTTTTATTCAATTTTTTTCAGTGTTTTTTATATTTGACTCGGCCATTTTTTCATATACTTATTTTTATTTATAACCAGGGCTTGAGCGACAGTGGGGCCTACTAAACCATTGGGGTACCTGCATACTAACTAGTAGGGTAGGCTATTTGATCTTGACTGTTTGGTTTTACCCGAAACCGGACGTATAACCCAGATCGGGACCGGACTGGGACTGGATAACAAACAATCCAATCTCATATTCGGGATTAGATTTGAGGTAAAAAACCGGATAAAGATCGGATAAGAGATCCCCAACACCTAAAATCAAGATCAAATTGGGACCGGATTGGGTCAAGACCAGACTGTATCCAATCAAATCTTTGGTCCTTATATTCCCGAAAAAATCGGACTGGGACCGGATCAATTTGGTCCAATTTAACCGGACCGGACCGTATAGCCACCCCTACTAACCGGGGCTTTCTGCTACCAACATCGGGGAGGCTTCGCCTCCGATACCAACTACCAAGGGTGCCGCCGGGAACGCTCAAGTGGCGCCGTTGGGAATCGAACTCAGGACCTCCCACATCCAAAGCTCAATTAGTCCAGTGGTTTCACCACTAAGCTATGTTACCTTTGGCATTTTTTCATATACTGATTTAGCAAAAAAAAAATCAGATTTTTTAGATTTTTTTCCAGATTTTTAGTATTAGTCAAATATTAACTTTCAGTTAGAAATTTTGTTAGTGATATTGACTTAGCAATATGATACTGAATTGGAAGAAACTCATGAAAGTCAAAATTCCAAAATTTTAGTATTTTAGCTAAGAAAAAAGTTACAAAATTATTAACGATAACATAAAAATGGTTAATATTTTGATTCATTATGAAAGATTTGGATAACTAATAGAATTTTAATAGGTTTGGATAATATAAATGAATCTGAAAAATGTTTGGATAAAAAATAAACATCATCTTATTAATTTGAGTGTTTTACCCACCCTTTCTAAAACCGCACCATACCCGTGGCCGATGGGAAAATTTATTGTGGAGATGTAAATCGGTAGGCTGTTTTTAATTCTATGAAATAGTTGAATCAGAATTATTATAATTTTAGTATAAAGTATTATATTGTTGATTTTTTTTATACAATCTCTAGTATCGTATTACAAATCTTGATTTTATCTTTTTCGCCCCTAAACTATGCAATTTTTCAGAACAACTTTTTTGGGGCCATAATTCGAACAACCTTCGTTTTGTTAACATTTTTTTTAGTGAAAATGTTATTTGCTTTCACCTTAGTGAACACCTCTAATTAATGAAGATGTAGTATATCATTGATAAATATACTCAGATTGTTTATAATGACTACCTCTAATAATTCTTTCATAAACGTTGACAGTGATAACATAAGTTGATAATAATTATTGTATTATCGATAATAACACGATGATAAGAAATTTATGATTGTATATCACTAATAATATCTAACATAAGAGTTGATAATAATATGATAATAACTGAGATAAAAATGTTAATAGTGGGTAGCATTGAGCACCATTGATTGGCCTTATGAAAAGTCCTAAAAATCCGACACCGTTAAAAAATTCTAGAAACAAATTAAATTCCGTTGTTATTTTAAAATATAACACTAATCTCCTAATCCAACTTCACTACTTATTAATCACTAACTACTAATGAATTACATAGATTAATATAAAAATGAGGAATGACTTAATCAAATAAACCTAACAAAATATGGCAGCGGCAAAGGATACAAATAGCCCCGACGGCGGCGGCGGTGGAGGGTGGCGCTTATTGCCGGAGGAATTACTCACCAAGGTTCTCAACAGGCTGCCCTTAACTCGCTGCCTCTTCCAATTCCGCTGCGTCAGCAAATCGTGGCACCGTCTCCTCTCCGACATTCCCAATTTCATCAGCCGCCGCATCCTCTTCAACGAAGATGACGAGAACGCTCGAATCATGGTCGCCCGCATCGCCGACAAGGATGATCCGTCTGTACGGTACACTGCCCTCTGCCCCGACACGCTCCGGCCCGTCTCGACTTATTCCGGCGCCTCATTCTCCTCTCCAACCATCGCCGGCTGCCGGAACGGGGTATTCTGCATCCACGACAGTCCCGGCTTCCCCTGCCCCACCGAAACCCTAATCGCGCTCTGGAATCCCACCACTTCCGAATCCAAGTTCGCGCCCTTACTCCCGACTCCTCCGCGATCCAATTGCGCGACGATTGGGTTCGGATTCGATTCCCATTCAAACGATTATAAAGTCCTTGTTATGTTTTCCGATTCCAGAAGAGAAGAAAACAGAGGAGGGAGCATCACTGCCTGGGTGTACAGCCTTAGGAAGAATTCATGGACGCAAGTCGAAACCCACGACGTCAATCGCCCAATCTATGGCCTCTGTTCTGGGTTCCACCACTGGCATAATAGTAGCTCGAGATCCGAGAAAATCTATATCTGGCAGGATAACATCGGTGGCGAGGCATTCAAACCTGCAGATTACTATGCTACTGTGGTTTCCTTTGACTTGAGCAAACAAGTGTTCGAGACGGTTTACCTGCGCTTGCCTCGTCCTACGTATGTGGCTGGCAGTGGACATTACATTGTTCGTTCGATGTCCATGGTGGAAGAGTGTTTGATCGTTGTTTTGTCTATCAGCAAACGTCTTGAAGAGAAAGTGGACTACGAGGTGTGGATGGTGTTGGAGCCATGGCTTGAGCTTGAGCCTGGATGCCATCACTGGGTTAAGTTGTTGGTCGTTTCGGTTGATCGTTTCAGTTGTCTTGGCATTGCCGGATTTTGGAAACATGGGAAATGCTTTGTGGTGGATTGTGATGGGAGGTTGTGCCTTCTTGATATGGAAACGGGTTGTATCATCGACCAACTGGAAGTTGAAGGAAAAGGGTTTATTAAGCAAGAAGTTATGACTTATGTTCCATCCATGGTTTCATTGTCTTCTTGATACTTATACCTGTCCAAGCCTAAACGTATCTATATGTTCATCCACTCGTCCAAGTTCCAAGGTACTCCCCTGCAAGTTTAGCTTTACAATTTAGTCTGGATAGATGGTAACTTTGGAATCAACCTCAATGGACTATGATGCAACTAGTTCATGTTTTCTTCTGTTGGGTTTCATACGATGATAGAAATTGTTTCTTTTTCTTTTGTTCTCTCAAAAGTATTATCACCGAATGTGTTTCAACTCAGGTTATCATCAAGTTCAAGTTGCATGAAACTCTTCTTGTTATAGTCGATTAAGATTAGTGTTTACTTTTTTCAACTCGAATTTTAGTCTAGATGATGATAATAATGGTTATTATTGACAAAGATATCTCAAAAGACTGGTATATCACGGCGGGTAGACGATTCTTGACTTCGTTCAGTTGAAACACTCAATGTTCATCAAATGATTCTCAAAGTGTAGTTTTGACATTTATGTAAGGCTTTGCAGTTGTGTTGAATTATGCTTTTCTTTCTTTCTTGAGATATGATCGATTCTTTACAAAACACTAATTTATTTCCCTTCATCCATCTTTCACTCTTTCACTTCTTTCCCTTTATTAATAAGATTATGTTAGTTATTTATTGCTTCGTAGATATGTCGGGGTCAAAGATGAATTGTTACATAAGAAATGAGTGCAGGAAACTCTATGATGTATCACCGTATGCTACAAAACCCTTAATGCAAAACTGACACTATGCTAAAAAATAACACTAATATTAACAATTAATAATGGTAAATACTGACGATTGAGGATTCGTCATATGAGGAAAGGTCAAACTTTTGCTTTGTGGATATAATAATAAACAAAACCCTTTTGCCTGCATATCAAAACAGAAAAATGAAAACAGAGGAAGCTGGCGGGAGGAATTGATTGGGCCGCCGATCTTTGTCTATAAATCGTCTTCCTCATTTCCTCAGTCTCTCAAGTTTACTCATCTATTATCAATCGTTCATCCATAGCTAACCCCGTCATCTAGCACGATCGGATTCCTTTTTCGCTCTCTTTTCTTGTTCCAGCGCATTTAAGCAAGGAAAAAACCTCCCCTGCAGTCACCTTTGCTGCTAATAAGAAAAGGAAGCTAAAGACCACAAAAGAACCAAAAAATGTGGATTTTGGGGTGGAAAGGGCAATCTGGTTTCTCAGCTCGCTCCACTGCTGAAGAAGTTACCGAAGGAATTGATGCAGCTGGCCTCACCGCCATTGTTACAGGTTTCTGCTTCCTTCCTTATCTCTCTCTCTCTCCTAGGTTTTTTTCTTCTACTTCACCCCTGTTTGGTTATAGAGATAACCAATAATGGAAAATTGGGAAACTGGGTTTCTTACTACTGATCGAGCAGTAACTACATTCGCCCCCTGTTTCAGCTTTCTACTCTGTCTACCACCTTTTTTTTGTGGGCTTACTGATTCGGAAAAGGAAACCCCCTTTTTGGATTTTGCAGGAGCTACGAGTGGAATTGGAGTGGACACAACAAGGGTTTTGGCTCTGCGGGGCGCCCATGTGGTTATGGCGGTGAGAAACGTGGAAGCTGGCAAGAAACTCAAAGAGTCCATCCTAAAAGAAATCCCTAGTGCCAAGATAGATGTTATGCAGTTGGAGCTCAGTTCCATGGCTTCCGTCAGGAAGTTCGCCACTGAATACATCGATTCCTGCCTTCCTCTCAACATCCTCATGTAAGAATTAGTCAATAAAAGGCAAAAGATGCATCGAGTTATCGAGATGAGGGGGGGGGGGGGGGGGGGGGGGGGGGGGTTTCGATGATGATGCTAATGAATTTCTTATGCTGCAGTAACAATGCAGGAATCATGGCACCACCTTTCTCGCTTTCTCCCGACGGCATAGAGTTGCAGTTTGCTACCAACCATGTTGGTAATTAGCTGCTTCCTTACTTTCCAAGTGGAATGTAGTATTAGTTTTATGTTTATGACTCGAAAGGAATGGAATTTGTTCAACTCTTTTAGCCCATGTGCAGGACATTTTCTGTTGACCCATCTGTTGCTGGACACAATGAAGAAGACGGCTCGTGAGAGCAATCGCGAAGGGAGGATCGTGATTGTTTCATCAGATGGCCATAAATTCGCATACAGTGAAGGCATTCGATTCGACAAGATCAACAACGAAGCAGAGTGAGTAAATTTTGTATACCACTTTTTCTATCCAAATTCTGTGGATTAAGTTGGCCAAAATCAAATGTTGTGCAGATACAACTGCTACCGGGCTTATGGACAGTCCAAGGTAGCTAACATCCTCCACGCCAAGGAGCTCGCTAGGCGCCTTAAGGTAACTAAGCTCATGGAAAACATGCTGACCCCTAGAAATGGCGTTAGCGATAATGCTGAAAATGACATTCTTACTTATTACAACTGAAGGACATATGTGTTTCCTTGATGTGATGTGCAGGAAGAAGGGGTGAACATAACTGCTAATTCACTTCATCCTGGTGAGATCGCTACTAATCTTGGACGCAACAATGGCCTTCTTAATGGTAATAATACATGCTCATCAATGTCTGGACTCCATCAAACATTCCATACTGTGGTGTTGTTGGTTTCTTATGCTAGTGTTCCTGTTATTTGCAGCCATCTCCAACAGCTTTATCAAGTACCTCCTCAAAACTTCAAGCCAGGTACTATACAGAATCCACACACAATGACATCCTGCTTTACTTGATCGGTTGTGAAGCCATAGTTTCTTTCTTGGACGAGGGTTAAATCGTGGCTTCTTTCTTGGACGAGGGGTAAATTATTAGACTTAACAGAACAATGTATCTTTAATGATTAAATACAGGGAGCTGCAACTCAAATATACGTGGCTCTGCATCCACAAGTGAAAGGGGTGTCAGGGGAATTCTTCAAGAACAGCAACATATCTGAAACTGGAACTGCTCCTGCTCAAGATGAAGAGTTGGCTAAACAGCTCTGGGATTTCAGCATGAAGTTGATCAATACCTAGTGGATCAATTATTTTGATTATCTTCGTTGTTGTCTTCATTGTCGTTTGTCCGAGTTAAAGCATTTTAGTTGGTGTGTCAGATTTCGTGCTCTGCCGAAGAGGGAAAAATGATTGTAACTTGTGTAAGGTGGTTTGATTTGTTTAGGGTGTTGTGAAAGATAATGTAACAAAAGGCTTAGCTTGCAATTTTTCAGCTATAAGAGTTTTCATTTATGATTACTACAGTTCTTTTCGTCTTCGAATAAATTACGCCAAATGATAGGGGGGAAAACAGACAAAAAATCTGGGGGGAAAATCAACATAAATTAGCTTCTGTAAGGCATGGGAAGTAAACACTTCAGCAAAAAGGGTGGACCAAATCTAAGCTGAAATCCCAGAGTTTCTTAGCCAGTTCATCATCCTTGCCCTGAGGGCTTGGTTTGTATAAGTTACTGTCGCACAAGTATTCACCCGTCACCCCCTTCATTTGTGGATGCAGTGCCGCAAAGCATGTAGTTGCAGCTCCCTGCGAGGACGAAGAAGAAAAAACCATGATCAACATTTTGATCTAGTTTCAACACAAAAACACCAGCCTATCATATGATAATCAAAGAGAGAAATACTTTTACCTGTGGAAGATTTTTTAGCACATATTTACCGGCGAGATTTGTAATGGCTGTTCAAAAGGAAAAGAAGGGAACCATGGCAGACCATACATAGTGGATTAATGGTCAATTGACTTAGAGAAAGCTAAGACAAGATTCGTGGATTACCCCCAATAACACCGAGATTGCGAAAGAAGTTTGTAGCAACGGCTCCAGGGTGAAGTGAGTTCGCTGTTATGTTGATTCCTTCCTCCTGCTTGAATGAAGAACACAGGAAAGAGAAGGCAACAAGGATTAAGAAATCGACCTAATGCTGAAATGCCTGGCTACTTGCTGATTATCAGTGAAGATGCAAGAGTATGGACTCATTCTAGTAGTTCTGTGATTTATGGGACTACACATTATCAAAGCTAAGCGGTGGAAATGGTTGGAGTACCGTGAGGCGCTTCGCAAGTTCATTAGCATGAAGAATGTTAGCAAGCTTTGACTGCCCATAAGCGAGGAATTTGTTGTACCTAAAAATAACCAAGCAGAAGGTAAAGAATCCAAGGACATGTGGTGAGATCAGCTAGAACAGCCTCTTTTGTTTGTTACAGAAGAATCACTTACTCTGCTTCGTTGTTGATCTTGTCGAAACGGATCCCTTCCTTGTAAACAAACCGATGACCCTCTGATGATAGATTAACAATTCTTCCTTCCTGATTACTTTCAAGAGCAGTAGATTTCATTCTTTCCAACAGAAGATGTGTCAACAGAAAATGTCCTGGGGAACACTTGAACCATATTCCCTTGAGTCGGTTGTCCAGTTTGCATAGATAATCTAACGGCACAAAGAACTAGTTTTTTACAACTTACCAACATGGTTGGTGGCGAACTGCATCTCTATGTTGTCAGTGGAGAGCATGTAAGGGCACATCATGCCTGCATTGTTACTTCAATCAAACCAAAGTAAAAACTGATCACTCTCAACCTCTGGCATTCCTTTCATGTAGCAATAAGGTTGGTCATGTAAATATTATAGGAAAACAAGTTTCTTTACATCAACAGATTCAGTGGAAGGCCTGAAGAAACGTATTCCGATGCGAATCTCTTCACTGATGCCAATGAACTAAGATCCAAGTGCATAACGTCAAGCTTAGCCGTAGGGATTTCTTTGAGGATTGCTTCTTTAACACTTTTCCCAGCATCAACATTTCTTACTGCCATGAACACATGAGCACCGTGCATAGCTAGGACTCTTGCAGTCTCCACCCCAATTCCATTTGATGCTCCTGAATAAAACATTCAGGAATTGATGTCCCTACATTTCTACTCTCATACCCTAGGCAATCAAACAAACTGGATTCAATCTCCTCATCCTACAAACAACTCATGGAAATCAGTTGATACCCAGAGATTCAATCACCAACCTAAACAATCCTAATGCATGTTTTATGATATAACATAACTTCTCTGTCCATGTTGGGGCTTGATTCAGTAACTGAAGCAACGGTCAATCCACCATCAATTTCTTATTTCCCAGCAACCAAAGAGAACCCAGAGAAAGCAAGTCAAAGTCAGATGAAAACAAGTCATGCTTGTTAAGATTGCAGTGACTGAAGTAAAGGTCAAGCTACCACAAATTTCTTTGCTTTCCCAGCAACCAAACAGAACCAAGAGAAAGCAAGTCAATACCTGTGACGATAGCAGTGAGGCCAGTTGCATCGATTCCGTCAGTAACTTCTTCAGCTGTGGAACGAGCTGAAAACCCAGATGCTCCCTTCCACCCAAAAATCCACATCTTCTTCCTTCTTGGCAAACGAAAACAGGGGGATTGACAACAGTGACAGAAACTAAAAATGGGCAGGCGATGAAGGGATGAATCAGAAACCAACCTGAAATGACGCCCCGGGAATATGATGGGTCGATGAAACTTACTTGTGATTTATTACACTATAGTATTTTCTGGAACTGCAGCGCCATTGTTAAGAGGTTTTGATGAGCTTTTGTCGGTGGAAATACGTTACTGTCACCGGAACTTTGATACAGATTCCATATGGTCTCCAACTCGGCACAGCAAACCTGTCATTTCCGTGATGTTCTTAGAACGGTTTATTTTACTGTTTTTTCTAATAACCAGAACGGTTGATTTTCTGTAGTCAAAACTGGTCTTCTCTTAAATTGCAAGACGATCAATTTCAGGGGAAGATGTTAGCAGGTTTTGGATTATTTTAATTTAGGACGGATACGGTGACAACTTCTAAGGGGTTGTTAGATTGACAGCTAAAGGTATTTTAGGTATGAAAAAAGGAATATATTAATTACCTTTTTTGTATTAATTATATTGGGAATTAAAAACCCATATCAAATACAAATTTTTTTTAATTTAAATCCTATACATTAATATCTCTATCTCTCTCTTCCTTTCTCCAGCGGCCACTCCGCATCGACGGACAAAATTTTTCTCCGACGAATTCTCTCCGACAGACTCCCTCCGGCAACCTGAAAAAATGTACCAGTGCGTTAAAAAGTGTACCAATCCATTAGTCTACTGGTAATTAATATACCAGTGCTAGTGGTACGCTACCAGTGCGTTAAAAAATGTAACCAGTGCTAGTGATACGCTACCAGTACAGCGCTACCACTACCATATTGTATCGTACCACTAGCACTGGTAGCTCTACTAGTGCTAGTGGTACGCTACCAATGCTAATGATAGCGTACCACTAGCACTGGTAGCGTACCACTAGCATTGGTAGCGGTACCAATAGAGAATAACACAAAAAACATATGGTAGTGGTACCAGATGATAGTGCTACGCTACCACTATCACTGGTACGCTATCAGAAGACAAATGGTACCACTAAAAACCAGATCTAGAAAAGGGGAGACGCTGACGGGAGAGAGAGGTAGGGGAAGAGAGTGACCTCGCGACAGTGGCAGTGGTGGGAGACGAAGGACGGTGAGAGGGCTACGTTGGGGAGAGGATGATTGCGCCGCGGTGGTCGGAGGGGACGTTGCGACGGCATGGGGTGGAGGGAAACTGAGGATTACGGCGGCGACGGCGGTAGAGGGCTGCTGCGGGAGACAGGGGTGGCGGCGCCGGCGGTGAAGGGCTGCTGCGATGGAGGACGCGGCAGCGGTTGAGGGTTGCGGCTGTGGAGGACTGATGTGGTGGAGGTGGAAGCGTGAGAGAGGGAAGAGGGGGAGAGGGGGTGGGAGAAGTTAGGGTTTTGTTTTTGATTTATATGAGAGGGTGAATGATTGTGTGGTAAATCTTTTCCATTCCAAAAATACCATTCGTTTAATCTTAACCATTAATTTGAAAAAAAGAAAAAGAGACAGGAGAGAGGGTGTATCCAATGGTGAGGAGGTGGGTTGTCAAACTCACAACCCCTAAGGGGTTGTCACCGTATCCTATCCCTTTTAATTTATAGGGATTTGAGGATTTAGTAAAGTTTTATGATTTTGGATGATTATTTGGGTTTGTTTTTTGAAGTCTAGTTATTTTTGTTAGGAAGTATAGATAGAGGGGATTTATCAATTAGAAAATTTTCATTAAGTAATTTCAGAACATAATTACTCAATCATATTCTCTCTCTTTTCCTTTGGACTTTCCCTAAGCTGACGGGCTCAAGATACGGTGTATACACATATTCATAACTAAATCTATGTTATTTATTCAGAAAATCCAGATATAAGGGTAAATAATTAAAGACATTTTTATTTTTTCTTGCTTTCTTAATCAGCTCATATCTTCTTCGTTTTAACTCGGATTTCAATTTTTTGCACAGATGGAACGAGTTCGTTGTGATCTACAAAATGAGATCCATATTAAATATTTTTTGGAAAAAAAAATTAACGCCTCTCCTTACCAACTGCATACCATATGATATTTTCTTCATTTTAAAGTCGTTTTTGAAAATTTTTGCACAGAATGAAAGAGTTCGTGATTTATTGGACCTACAAATTTATGGGGTGAATAAAATACAGTTCCAAAAAATACCTCACAATACCACCCTGGTAAGGGGTGGTATCTTGTGGTACACAATGTTGAAAGTGGTAAATGACAGTTAGTATACTCATATTATCATCTATTCAACCTTCATACAGTTTTGGTATGTTCATACCACATGGTACGCTTTTCATACCATATGCTATGCTCTTATTTCAATTTCAGTCAATATCATATTGTATAGACTGGTAAAAAATGACACAATTTTTTTTTGTTCAAAAAATATATTAACTGTGCAAAAAAAGAACACAATTAATCTGATCTAACTGTGAAAAAAAAAATTGACTTAAAACTAGTGAGAAATCATCCGTTAAAGATTAAAAGCTTTACAGGAAAGAGAAAGGGCACTGATGTGGCGGATTCTGATTGGATTATGCATAGTTATTGACCACAAGATTATTAACCGGCCTAGCCGACGACTCTTCCTCTCTCTCTCTTTCTTACACAATTTTACTACTAAATCATCTAATCTAAATCTCCGTTCCCGAAATTCTCCTATTATCACAGTTATAGAAACCCTAGACGGAGACGCTAGATTCGCAATTATTGTATAGTATGATGAATAAACATCCCGTTTGGTTTTCTTGTTTCACAAACTCAAACCTATACTTAATCCTGTAAACCTCAACTGTCTGCAAAATTTCAATTGATCAGATAGTTTCGGGCGAGCTGGAGACGATTGACAACTAGCGAGGCAAGGATGGGTCGAATTTCGGTTAACTTTGTTCATTCTAAATTACCTTCAATTGAACACAATCCCCCTTACCTGCTATCAGATCAATAACAAATTGCACTAATGATAACAGTAGTGGTAGTAGGACATGTAGCTAGCAAGCCAAGAGCTTGAACAGAGAAAAAAATCTAGAACGGAAGAGCTAACCATTTATTCGCAGAGATAAATAACTCAAATGATAGAACCAGAAACAAGATCTGGAGAAAAGTGAACAAAAACATCTCCTTGTGTTCAGTATGCCAAACATGTATGGTAAGTTCTGTAAGAAAGAAAGTAGTGTACTAGGTTCAACCAAATATGACTAGAAAAGTAACGTTTTTAGCAAAAAGGGTTGACCAAATCCAAGCTGAAATCCCAAAGCTTCTTTGCCAATTCTTCATCCTTACCCTGAGGGTTTGGTTTGTATAAGTTACTGTCACAGAAGTATTCACCTGTGACCCCCTTCACTTGTGGATGCAGTGCCACATAGCATGTAGTTGCAGCTCCCTGCAAACAACCACGACGAGCAACATTTCGATTGAGTTTGGACACACAAAAATCTCTGGCTATCATATAATTTTAATCAAAAACAGAAATGCTTACCTGTGGAACATTTTTTAGCACATATTTACCAACGAGATTTGTAATAGCTGTACAAAAAGAAGGGCACTTGTTATGGAGGATTTATACTTGAACCCAAGGGAGACCATGAAGCTCAAGTAACTTAGAGAAAGGCTAGACAAGATCTGTGGATTACCTTCAAGAACACTGGAATGGCGAAGAAGGTTTGTAGCGATGGCTCCAGGGTGAAGTGAATTCGCAGTTATGTTGATTCCCTCTTCCTGTTGAATGGAGAAAACATGAACAAGAGAAGGCAACAAGAACTAAGAAAGGTAACTAATGTTGGAATGCAGAACTTGCTGATTAAGTAGTGAAGATGTACGAGTTTTGAGTCATTTTAAAAGTCGTGTGATTTATGAACTACGCATATTATCAAAGATGGAAATTGTAGGAAATTTAGGAGTACCTTGAGCCGCCTAGCAAGCTCATTAGCATGAAGAATGTTAGCCAGCTTTGACTGCCCATAAGCACGGATGTTATTGTACCTGAAAATTACCATACAGAAGGTAAAATTCAAGGACAAATGGCAAAAAACAAGCAGAACAGCCTCTTTTGTTTGTTAAAGAAGAATCATTTACTCTGCTTCATTGTTGATCTTGTCGAAACGAATCCCTTCCTTGTAAGCAAACCGATGACCTTCTGATGATAGATTAACAATTCTTCCTTCCTGGTTACTTTCACGAGCCGTGGATTTCATTGTTTCCAACAAAAGATGTGTCAACAGAAAATGTCCTGGCAAACACTTGAACCATATTCATTTCAGCTCCCCTTCTGAACTACATGTATAACCCAAAGGCACCAAGAACTAGTTCTCTAAAACTTACCGACATGGTTGGTAGCAAACTGCATCTCAATGTTGTCCGTGGAGAGCATGTAAGGGCACATCATAATGCCTGCATTGTTACTGCCATCAAATGAAGGGAAAAAATCATCACTCTCGTCCACTAGCATTTCCTTCATGTAGCAAAACAGTCATGTAACTGATATAGACAAACAAGTCACTTTACATCAACAGGTTCAGTGGAAGGCCTGAAGAAATGTATTCCGAAGCGAATTTCTTGACTGATGCCATGGAACTGAGATCCAGCTGCATAACATCAACCTTAGCAGTAGGGATTTCCTTGAGGATTGCTTCTTTAACACTCTTCCCAGTATCAACATTTCTTACTGCCATGACCACATGAGCACCGCGCATAGCAAGGACTCTTGCTGTCTCCACCCCAATTCCACTTGATGCTCCTGAAGAAAAATTCAGGAATCAATGCCCTACATTTCCCATACTTCTCTACTCTCAAAGCTCAGGCAATCAATCCAGATAAAAGACCCTCACCATACGAACAACTGATAGAAATCAGTTGACATACATTCAAAAGACCCAGAGATTCATTCATCAACTAAGTAATCTTAATGACAGTTATATGATGTAACAAAACGTCTCATCCCATATTGGGGCTTTGATTCAGTGACTGAAGTAAAAGTCGACCTACCATCAATTTCATATTTCCCAGCAACCAAACAAAAACCAGAGAAAGCAAGCCAAGCACAGATGAAAGCAAGTCATAACTGTGACGATCGCAGCGACTTAAGTAAAAGGGCAAGCTACCATCAATTTCTTTACTTTCCCAGCAACCAAACAGAACCCAGGAGAAAGCAAGTCAAACCCAGATGAAAGTAAGTCAATACCTGTGACGACAGCAGTGAGCCCAGTTGCATCGATTCCATTAGTAACTTGTTCAGCAGTTGAACGAGCTGAAAACCCAGATGCTCCTGTCCACCCAAAAATCCACATCTTCTTACTTCACGGCTAGCAAAACCCAGATGTTTGTGATTTTTGCTGCACAGATGGACTCTTCTTTCGCAGCTTTTTCTGGGTTTCTTGGCTAAGAGAAATGGAGACGATGATGACAAACGGAGGAATTAAAAACCCATATGGGATGGGTAAGCTTCCTAGTGAATTATTATAATATTATTTTCTGGGATTGCCGTCGAGAAAGATTGATCAGAGCTTTTATTTGTCCTTACTTTTTTCGAACACAGTGCCTTGTTTTCGTGAAGCGGTTCACTTTCATTTTCGTTTCCAGTTTTCTGTTTTCATGTGATAAATTTGGCAACCGAAATGAGAAAACTTGTTTACTTTTCATTCTGTTTTCTATTCGTTTCCAACTATGAAAACAGAAAGTGGCAACTTCCTGCTGTTTTCGAAAACGACAAAATGTTGTTTTCACCTGTTTTCAACATCTGTTTTCTCAAAAACAGGAAACAGAAATGAAAGTAAACAGGCCCTTATTTTGTCGTTGCAAATACGTTGGGTAATTAACATAAATGGTCACAAACCTTTGCACTTAGTACAAAACAGTCACAAACCTTTAATTTGTAACCATTTGATAACAAAACTTTTTACTTAGAACAAAACGGTCACAAATTAAACAGTGTGACCATTTCATACCAGTTCAAACTTTTGTTACCGTGTCGTTGCAAATTAGACTTTTGGTGACCGTTTTGTACAAATTAAGTTCAAAAGTTTGAACGCTCAATCACCGTTACAATTCGCTCTAGTTGTATGGTGGTTTTGTTAATGTATGTGAATGATATGATCGTCATAAAGGATGACAATGAGAGAATTCAATGGCTCACAAACGGGTTCCAGACTGCTTTTTAGTTGAAAAAACTATGTCTACTTTCTTGGTATCGAAATTTGTTTTTGATAGATTGGTATCGAAATTGAAAGGTCAACTGAGGGCATTCTTATTTGGCAAAGCAAATATGTCGATGAACACATGAGCTGACATCTTATATATTGTTCAAGTGGTTAGTGTCATATACTTAACGAACAAACTACCCAACCTCAAAACATGACAAACATTTAATTTGTAACGATTCGGTAACAAACCTTTTCATTTAAAACAAAACGGTCACAAATTAAATAGCGGTCACCATTTTATACAATTTCAAAATTTTGTTACCATATTGTTACAAATTAAAGATTTGTGACCGTTTTGTACTAAGTGCAAAGGTTTGTTACCATTTATGCTAATTACCCCAAATCGTTACAGTCAGTAGTGTTTTGGATTTATATAAAACCTCTGCCATTTGTTGTGAGTTGTCAGTTGTGACGTTCTTGTAATGGTTTATTTTCTCCTTTTCTTAAATAACTAAAACAGGTTTATTTCTATAATTAAGTTATTTGCTTGGCATTTCTAATATTTCAAGATTCTACATGGAAATCTTAGGGGAAGAGAATAAAGATTATGTTTGTTAATTTTATAAAGAAGTATCTACCGGATATGACTTGGTTTCGTCGGCAAGAACCCCATATAATAATTAAACACAACAATCAACAAGCAAACAAATTCCGATTTTAATTGCATTAGTAGAACATGTAAATAACAAAGGCAGAGCTTCAACAAAGGAACGAAAACAAGGATGAAAGAGCTTCATGAACTTCAACTGATAGAACCAGATAACATTGCCAACCTCAAATAGAACAGTAAAGCCATGGGAGGTAGATTCAACCAAATACGACCAGAAAGTAACATTTAGCAAAAAGGATTGATCAAATCCAAGCTGAAATCCCAAAGCTTCTTTGCCAATTTCTCATCTTTAGCCTGAGAGTTTGCTTTGTATACGTTACTGTCACTGAAGTATTCTCCAGTCACCCCCTTCACTTGTGGATGCAGTGCCACATAGCATGTAGTTGCAGCTCCCTGCAAACCCAGGATTACCGCATGTCGGATATTGGATCGAGCTTCGGCACAAAATATTGAGCTGCTTTTGGTAATCACTAGTAAGAAAGAACTGCTTACCTGCTGAACATTTTTCAGCACAAATCTGCTGACAGCATTTGTAATGGCTGTAAGAAGGAAAACAGGAAACTTGTTAGAGGGGTTCGAACGTGAATGATGAATCCATGCCTATCATTATGTGAGACCATTAATATTTCATGTTAAAGAGCCAAGACAAGATCCATGGAGTACTGACTTGCAATAACACCAGTATGACGATAAAGGTTTGTTGCGATGACGCCAGGGTGAAGAGAGTTGGCAGTTATGTTGATTCCCTCTGCCTGTTTGAACAGAGATAACTGGAATTAGACATGGCAGCAAAAATTAAGGATCCCGCCTCATATTGGAATGATTAGTATCAGTGAAGATCTAAGAGTTTGACTCATTTATTAAGTTCTGTGATTTATGGACTTGGCATGTTACCAAGATAAATAGAGGAAATGATTGGAAAACTTTTCGATTACCTTAAAGCGCCTAGCAAGCTCATTAGCATGAAGAATATTAGCAAGTTTTGCCTGTCCATAAGCACGGATGTTGTTGTATCTGGAAATGAGCAAACAGAAGACAGAAATCAAGGAGCTGTTAAAGCAAGCAGAAGGAACTAATAAAGCAGTGAAGAAGAATCATTACTCTGCTTCGTTGTTAATCTTTTCGAAACGAATTCCTTCCTTGTTACACCAACGGTGACCTTCAGACGATACAATAACAATTCTTCCTTCTCGATTGCTCTCACGGGCAGTGTATTTCATTGTGTCCAACAAAAGATGTGTCAACAGAAAATGTCCTGGAAAATACTTGAACCATTCTCCTCAGTTTTCTCTTGCAGTTAGCATGTAATCAAAAGGCACAAAAGAACTAGTGTTCTGAACGAACTTACCAACATGGTTGGTAGCAAACTGCAACTCTATATTGTCCGCGGAGAGCATGTAAGGGCACATCATGATGCCTGCATTGTTACTGCCATCAAATCAAAGAATCATCACTCTCAGCCAATACCATTTCCGTCAGAGACACTTCCATGAAAAAATTCACAGTAAAATCAAATTGATTGTGGGTCTCTTTACATCAGAAGGTTCAGTGGAAGGCCTGAAGAAACGTATTCCGAAGCAAATTTCTTGACTGATGCCATTGAATTGAGATCCAACTGCATGACATCAACCTTAGCTGTAGGGATTTCCTTGAGGATTGCTTCTTTGACACTCCTGCCAGCATCAACATTTCTTACTGCCATAACCACATGAGCACCTCGCATAGCAAGGACTCTTGCTGTCTCCACACCAATTCCACTTGATGATCCTGAACAAACATTGAGGAATAAATACCCTACATTTCTACTCTCAAACCCTAGGCAAGCAATCATAGTATCATCACTTCTCTCTGCTGACAAGACAATCAAGACTCCAGAGATTCATTCAAAATTTCAGGGGATTGATCATTCCAAATTCATCTAGTCATCAAAACTCATAATGACTGTAGGAAAATAACAAAACGCCTGTAAACCCAAGTTGGGGTTTGATTCAGTGACTGAGGTAAGTAAAGGACTACTGATTGGGAGACTATTCAACATGAAGCTACAGTCAATTTAAATATCCTTTTTTCCCATCAAACAAACAGAACCCAGTAGAAAACAAGTCAAACCCAGATGAAAGTAAGTCAATACCTGTGACGATAGCAGTGAGGCCAGTTGCATCGAGTCCATTAGTAACTGCCTCAGCCGTAGAACAAGCGGAAAACCCAGATGCTCCTTTCCAGCCCAAAATCCACATCTTTCTTCTCGGTAAAGCAGAATAGAAATCGATCAACAACAGTCACAGATACCAAAAAACCTGCAATTAAGTATCAGTAGACAGACGATGCTTCTGCTGCAGAGATGGGCTCTTCTTAAAAAGCTTCTCTTGGCTTGTTGGCTAAGAAAAATGGAGAAGGTGATGACAAACGGAAGAATCAGAAACCCATTTGAAATGACGCCCTGGGATGAAAGAAGATGGATGGATCGGTGAAGCTCTAATCTTGTTGTTGTGATTATTCTACTACTACTTTGGGTTGCAGCGAATTTGGTCATAGCTATTAATTATCCTTTTCTCTTTTCGCAGTGCCTCGCTGTGGTGACTGGTGACTGGTGAGCGTTCGTCGTTGCAAAAGATGATTAGACTGCTTCCCTTTGTTTTTGGCTACAAACTTGAAAATTGCTCCAATTCCTTGGTATGGAAAACATTCCATTTTAGAATACACAAAAACAAAAGGAAAAACATCCCATTTAGTGACGTTCTTAGTACGGCTACTCTTTTTTTATATAACTACAACGTTTGTTTTTAGAGATAATTTTGTTGAATAATGAGTTGTGAGAAATGTCTTTTTTGAATAATATGTTGAAAGAGTTTGTTTGATAGTTGATACTATGCCCTCATTGCAAAAGGATAATTTAATTATGGGTAAGATTTAAGAGTCGTTCTGTATTTGAAAAATGAGAGTTTTGAGAGGAAAAATCTCGACATTTAGGATGGATATACAGTACTACGAATTTGAATTTTGAAGAGTCTATTATTTGGACTATAGATTTATATCTATGATGAATTTGTTACATATATGATATCTCACTATCTATTAATAAGTTACAATTTCCAATTCAATATGTGAGATCTACAAGTCTATAAAAGTCCACGAATTTGAATCCAAAATAAAAATAAAATTTGTGGTTTCACAAATTTGACATTCGTCAACAAATAATAGACTATTAGACTTAGAGTTAAATCCATGAAGCTTTAGAATTGAATACCAAATTCATGAACAAAATGCAACAAGCAATATACGTTTTACAAGGCGGATAATAGCTTAGTTTGGCCCTGCTGTAGCTTTTGCAGAAGCAGCTTCTGGCTGGAGCTTTTAGATAAGTACTTTTCAAAAAAAGCAGTTTAGTGTTTGGCTGTAAAACTATTAGAAGTGCTTTTTAATATGAGCGGTTGTGTAAAATGACTATAAAGGACTTATAATATAAAATATAAATAAAAATTCGAAACAATAAAAAGTAGTCAAAATGGATCTTGTTAGATTTCTTTTATATTAAATAATATGATTTTATAATTTTTTTTATTTTTAAAATGATATAAATGAAGGAAAATTATATTTTCTGAAATAAAATTAAAATATGGTAAGGATAATCTTGTATTTTCAAAACAGCTTTTCGCAGAAGCTCCAAATCGGAGCTTCTGCTTTTATGTTATACAAAAACCCTTTTCGGCTTTTCAAAAGCCGAGCTTTTAGAGGTGTTTGGCCCTGCTTAAGCTTTTGAAGCCGAAAAGCACTTCTAAAAGCCGGGCCAAACATAGGCAATGCCTATTACATTACTGTTGTGGTTGTGGACTTCTTATTTCCTTGAGGGAGCCGGGCCACTGCTGGGCTGCTTCTTCATCAATTGCACGCAGGAGGGGTACGGCCCAACTGCATGGTATTTTACAGGCCAGGCCTGACTGCTTGGTATTTACGGGCCAGGCCCATCTTCCTGAAGACTTCCGCTCCAGTCATTCAGTTGGTTTCCTCTCTCGAGCTTCAATTTTACTACTTAACTTGAGAAATCGTCTGCGAGAGGGTTTATGAACACGATCGATAACTGAAACCCCTTCTTCTCCGCCTGCATTCCTCCCACTCCCTCATTTCCCCAAGTATTCCGCTTCCCGATTGTGGCGTGTTCGCTATCATGGAGGACGAGCCCAGCATCCTCGAATCCTTGCTCGACGATGGAGAAGAAGACGTCGAGATGGTCGACGTCGAAGAGGGCCAACTCTACGAACTAACTACGGATACTACCGCCCAGGCCTCCGGCGAGGCTAAAAACAATGGCGGAGGAGACGGAGAGTCTCAAGACACCGCTATGAATTCGAGTAAAAAGAAGAGGAAGAAGAATAGGAAGAACAAGAAGAAGAAGAAGCAGCCCGGCAGTGGCCCGGCTCCTCCCGTGGAAATAAATAGGTACGGGAATGGGAAAACGGAAATGCTCTATTGGGCTTAGGTTAGTTTCATTCGATTGCTTTTCCTCTCCTTTAACCCTAATCTCTGTTGGGGTTATTATCTATTTGTGATTGCAGGTTTGTGATAGATGCTTGTAGGCGTCTGAAAGAGAAGAAATCATACTTGGTCTACTCCGCTGTGGGGACTCTTGGAGTTGAAGCCGTGAGTGATCTGGTTAGAGAGGTTTGTTTTCTTGATCAAGACTTTCACTATGAATCCCCCTTTATCATTTTATGGTGTTTAATCCTTGCTAGGTGATGAATCAATGTTGTCTGCTACCTGCTATATAACCTCTTATGTTGTTTCTGCATTTGAGACCTTGTTTGGAGAAGTTGGCCAATTTATGTGCTTTGTAGGTGGGTGGTTGATTAGTTGTTCCTATGTTTAGTTTCATCCATCCAAATCCCTTCATTCAAGTAAAAATCAACTTGTCATGTTTCTTGTGATGTGCCCATTTCTCAGCACCCTTCATGCTAGTACCTTGCCCGTGCTTGATGATCATAACGAAGATGATAATCTTGATCGTGGGATATGTTGGCTCGATTAGGATGCTTGATGCTTACCATTCTACTCAAAGGCGTTCCTCATAGTTGAATGATCATGTATGTTGTTTCCCAGACCCTTGCGGACTCTCATTGCCAGAACTCAATTCTGGTGCTTCAAATTATGTGTTGTGAGATGAGATATACCCTTGGCTTCTCTTCTCCTTTATGTAGGTTTTTTTTTCTTTGTTAACTCTTAATCCATGGGAAAATTTGGTACCAATGAATGAAAGAAACGAAAGGGTAAAACTTTGCTCTTGGGATTCTATCATGGAACTCATACCTGATTCCTAAAGTCATTGCAGTAAGTCAGTAACGATATGATGACAATTTGAACCCGTCCCTTTTCCAGACCCGACAATCTACTGTCTTCTCTCTGTTTCTCTCGCTGTCTTAGTTCTCTCCTTTGTCTGTGTTCCTATATTAGCCTAATAGTTACAAATATGCTGAAAATGCAATGAAATTCAGGTGGATGCTATTCAGTCGTGTGGGGGACAGATGACTGCAGATGGCAAACGTTCTAGAACAGGTGGTGGGATATTATGGAACATCTTAAAGTCAAGAGAACCTGCAGCATACAGAGAAATAATGAAGCAAGCAAAGGAGTTTGAGGTGTGTTACTATAGGTTTTTGTTAAACGACTTTTACTAGGAATCTTGTGGGGACTTCATTTGTGATAATGTCAGTTCTGTGGAGGTCTATTGATCTTCCTGTTATTTCATAAATTGCAATGCTAACTTATTTTCTCTCCTTGCTTTTGCTTTCAGAAGCAATTATTTAAGCGACAGAAGATGATTATGCGATCAGCTAATGCAGTAGGTCTGTCTAATGAAACTCCATTTGCAATCACCGAGGATGATACTACAACAACGTTTGGCGTCCTTGTGCCTGAAAGCCAACTTGTAAAGGACAATGGTGAGGTGAAGCGCGGTTCTGTTCATGATAGGATTAGAGTACCTGTTTCATATGAGGATTTGATTCAGGATGAACCAAAGGAGAGTTGTTCATAGCTTTTTTTAGCGTGGATGGTGCAATTACTTGTTAAAAAGAACAGCTATATATATTTGGGGGGGCTATTCTTGCTTTCTGATAGATGTCTTTTGTTCTCGTCATACTCCAATGGAATGCAATCGCTGTGGGAGTTCTGGTAGGTATCTCTTCTGTACCCTGTTTCATGTGATGATCTACCTTTTAGTTTTACAAAAGTCCCAAGTGAGATAAACTCCATTCAGTATGAATACTTGGCAAATTTAATCTAATGACAAGCACAGGGTTCAGGTCTTCAGGATATTAGGGGTGTTCAAACGGTTTGGTTACCGTGGTAACCGTTTTAACCGGTACTATTTGGATAATTTGGTTTGGTTAATTTGGATAATTGGTTTGGTTTGGTTAAAGTTTTTAGCTTGTTTGGTTTAGGTGGTTTGGTTTGGTTTCAGACACTCCTAACCAGTCAAACCAAATTAACCAGTTAATTAATTAATCATATATCTAACATATATATACACATACTTAATACTTTGCATAACCACTCAAGAGTTAACATTCATCCCTTTTAGACTCATATAAAATATAAAGCTCAATATTGCTCATATAGTGTATATTTGTATATGTAAAGTGTAGACCACAACATACGGACGCTTAATTTAGATAAATTTCATACATTATGATGGATGAAAACTTGAAAGGAATGTCATTTCCAGCCTATGATAATTGCTAAGAGAATAAGTCAACTTACACAAACACAACAATTCATTAACCCATACCATTGTCATAAATTTTTGTTAGGTGAACACTTCTATACTAATCGTAAGATAATTGTCTTAGTTGCATGTATTTTTGTTAAGGGTCAACTATAACTACGTGTTGATTGTTATGTTTTATTCATTATATAAATTGCAAATTGTTGCATTAACCGAAAATTTTTCATCATCAATGATAATGTGATTTTATATTGGTTAATCTGGTTAACCAACTAACCAAACCGATTAAACTTTAGTTTGGTTAATTTGGTTGTTGTATTAGTTTGGACGGTTTGGTTATGATATTGTATTCCATGGTTAATGGAATTTAGCCTTATTTGGTTTGGTGATAACCATGATAACCATTTGAACACCCCTACAGGATATTGTGAGGTTTTATGCTCGTGGGAAGTGCTGCGCCACACTCACCATTGGATTAATACCGTGCCACACAAGGATCTAAAAGAAGCCTGGACTCGGATGCAAGACTTGGGATCTGAAGCCTAAGACAAGGGAAGACCCGTCCCTTCTTCTCTTTACCCCTGTTTGGTTTCTGGATTAATCTATAATAACCGGTGATCTAGTTAATCTAGTTTAGGATCCAAGCAACCCCCAAGTGGCAATTAGCTCCTGTGGAACTACTTGGCAACCATAATTTATGTTCTTCATTTCGACTCAGTTTATCCTCTCACAGTTAGAATAGGGGGATGCGCAACAGTGGCTTTTATGACATCTGGTGACAACATTCATTTCGAGCAACTATGGCGTGCTAGGGGAGATTGCATCCTTCATCCATTGTGCGAGTGGCTTCGCACGAACTTCAGTCAGTACTTTTTGATTTTGACCTTCGTTTCGAGCAACTATGGCGTGTTAAGGGAGACTGCAGCCTTCATCCTGTGTGCGAGTGAGTGGGTTCTCACAAACTTCAGTTAGTGCTATTTGATTTTGAACTGCTCGACCTAGGCCATATTGCTTCGTTGGCGTTCACTTGGAGCCGAGGGTGGTTTAGAGCTTTAGGGCATCTATTCGGTGCTTCCAAATGCCACAAGTTCTAGGAAACTACTATGGATAATGGACCCATGAAGGATAGATAGATAGATAGATAGATAGATAGAAAGAACAGTGCATATCCAAGATGGTTGTTACAAACTCAATAATTCAAATACATCTTCACCACATGGGATACAAACAAGCACTAGAGAATAATTTACACACATTATAGGAGAGTAATAACTAACAACTCTCAGAATCCAGAGTCACATGGAGATATAGATAACAAGCCCAGCCATACAAACAGAAAGAAGCCAACACTCAGAGGATTGAAATGATCGAGAAGCTGAAAGGAGTCCGGCTGAAATGTTTCTTCCTCCTTAATGCTTTGATTAATTTAAGACTTGCTTGAGAAAGGAATGGCTCTGATAACAACCTGGTGGTAGAGAGCAGCTAGTGCAGCACCAATGAATGGTCCAACCCAGAAGATCCACTGCCACAAGACAAACAATAAAGCAAAATCAGAACATGAACAAGAGATGCCAATATGAAGGATTAAAGTGCTGGTCTTTGAAATTGCTGTTTGTTGCTTACATGGTCATCCCATGCATGGTCCTTGTTGTAGATGATTGCAGCTCCAAGACTCCTAGCTGGGTTAATGCCGGTTCCGGTAATGGGGATGGTGGCCAAGTGTACCAAGAACACTGCAAACCCGATTGGGAGAGGTGCCAAGATCTGCAACAGAACCCAGAAGTGCTTATTATTAGGCAAACTCCCTACTCAAAATAGTGCCACAGCATGGTTCATCATTCATTGAACCCAGCAAAGGAAAAGAATAGGTGAGAAAACGAATCTTCACATGCTTAAAGGCGCTAAAGCTATGAAATATGAAAGGGACCTTGATAAGTAGCCAGGGTCCCATCATTACTACAACCACCAAGAATGTCAAGGGAAAGCATTGGGACCAAAATTCACATCGTTCTCAATCCAGCCAAACCCTAAAGAGACCCATCGAAAACATCACATCCAAAGGCCCCATTTGACGGAATAATTTGCCGTCCAAATGAGGTAACTATGAACATGTCACACGCAACATTGGCTAAGCATCCTTTATCTTGTTTGCCATAGGAAAACGTCTCAAAGCATCATGAAAAACCAACTTTAATTGAAATGCCAACCAACTAGGTTAGGCAGAAAACCATGCGTAGCTTAAAATTCTGGCCAATATCAGATCTCGAAATGGTATCTTAAAGAATCAAACTTCGAACTCTCAATGTAAGAAAACCTTGAACTGCATACGTATAACATACACACGAATACAATCAAAAAAGTAATTAAGGGTAGTTAGTTTAGTACTAAGTTAGGTAAGGTGGAAAGAAGAGAGTAAGCATATACGTACAGGAACATGGGAGTCTCTGGCGTTTCTCTTGGCATCAGTAGCTGAGAAGACGGTGTAGACAAGGACAAAGGTACCAATAATCTCAGCACCAAGACCATCACCCTTAGTGTAGCCACCGGCCACCACGTTGGCGCCACCACCATTGACCTCAAAGGTCTGCTTTCCTTCGAATCCCCTGATCACACCAGCACCGCAGATGGCTCCAAGCGTCTGCATGATGATGTAGAACACCGCCCTTGTCAAGGACAGCTTCCTCGCCAAGAACAACCCAAATGTCACTGCTGGGTTGATGTGTCCACCTGCGTGTTTACAGATCTAATCAGTAAAGTCCTGAATCACAACACATGAAGCAACACAAACCCATTTCCATACAGCTTCACCCCCCAAACCAGAGCTAAAAAGTAAAAACTTACGTTCTTTCAGGACATTCATCAAACACTTGCCAAGGAACCCATCAACCCACAATGAAATCTAAAAAAATTGATGATTTACCTGAGATACCAGCGGTGCAGTACACAAGGGCGAAGATCATGCCACCAAAGGCCCAAGCGATACCCTGAATACCCACAGTGGAGCACTTGGAAGGGGACTTGGAGACGCCCATTACAGTAAGGACAGTGATGTAGAGGAACAGGAAAGTGGCCATGAACTCGGCGATTCCAGCTCTGTAGAATGACCATGAAGAGAGCTCACCAGGCTCAAACAATGGAGCTGGTGGTGGCTCCTTGTAGTCCTTGTCAGTTTGAGCAGAGGTTCCAATGGGCTGCCTCTCGGAGAACTTGTTAGCTCCCAACCTAACATCTTCTTCCTTGCCCTCCATAGCTGCTGCGCTTTCTCTCTCAAGAAGTTTTGAGCTTTTGGGTTTCTCTCGAGAACAGAGAAATTGGGTGTTGTTTGTTGGGAAGGGGAGAGTGGGTAGTGGAGACTGTGTGAGAGAAAGGGTTGAAGATAAGGGTGAGCTTTTATAGAATGGTGTCCTTATTCTGTCTCATTATTAATTGCTTTGGAATGGAAGTTCATTTTTAAATTGCTTTCTTTTCACTAATTTATACTATAAATATAATGCTAATGATGATAATAATCTTGAAATGCAGCCTTGTGTGTCTTTTAAAAAAAATTAAGTTTAGGAACATGAAAAGGATGAAGAAAGGAAGAACATACTTAGAAGGAAGTTTTCTTGCTTCAATATTTGATGTATGAAGATTTTAACTACAGTACCCATCGATTGTTGTTTATTATTAATCAAACAAGATTTAATACTTTAGAACTATTACATATGAGTTAATTGACTAAGTGAGTATTAAAGTAATTACTTTACGTGTGTTTGAAAGAAAAAAAAAATATGAACATATGCAAAATCATATTAGTTCTCCTAATGATTTATAAGTTGTAATAACAAATTTTAGGTTATGTTTTAGTTTCTTTCTTCATGTTTGCATTTCCCCCATTTAGCCCACTAGAACATTCGTTGAAGTGTTTAATTTGGGAGAAAATTGAAGGGGAAAAGGAAAGGGTGATATGATGGGGAAATGGAATTTTCTTCTTTTGATGAGTCATCATGAAATGGATGCTTTACCTTCAATCAAAAGGATTAGTGGTCATTATGCAAAGCAAAATACCAAAGAGAATTGTCATTATCACCTCAGTAATAAACATTAGAATTGTTTTTTTTCTTAGGGTAAAAAATTATAAAGTGGAATGTAAATGTACAAAATCCAGAATGAATCCTGAAGGATTGTTCTGGAATGACCAGAGGGAAGGAATGGGTATGCTGACAGGTTGGTATTATATGGTCTCCCCCAATTTGATTGTCATTATCCTTTTAGAAGCCTCTTCTAAAAATATTATTCCCCTGATTTTCTGTTCCCAGAAGCCATTAAATAAACAAACACAGTTATTCCCTTTCTGGTTAATCAAATTGTTTATTCCTCTGCATATTATTAAGGGATGATTTGGATGGTGAGCTGTCTGTTACATTGGCAATGACTCATCATCCTCACTTAAGGGGGAATAAATAGCTCAACAAGTTTAGTTGCGATTTTTTAGGGTTTTGGAGTGATTGATTAACCGAGGGACGAGGGTTAAAAGGGTAATTCTGCGGCTCCTTTGGGCTGGGTTGGTCCCGACTTATGGAAGCAGCTAGAGCTAGATGGTTCACTTTCGGCTGCGGGAGAACCATTCACAGCCACACACACAGTTGGGTTAGCGAAGAAAAAAAAAAGAATCCAATGGCAGAGACGTGCCGACCGTTTTTTTTTCTTCTGTGACCGTTGGGAAAGTGACAGCCCGGGCAGCCGCTTTTCGTCCTGCCCGAGCTCACACTGGGCAACATTAGATTTGCGACCTCGGGAATTTACGAACATGCCATCGTCTTAGCCCTTAGAAGTGGGCCCAGGCTCGTTGCTGGATTGGGCCCAGGCTCGTGATGAAGGACGCACAAAGTGGGGCAACGGTCCAGCCGACCAGCCTAACATTTGCCCTCATTATCTTTACTCCCCCGGGTCAATTTCACTGTGAGGTCAGCCCCTACACCTTTTTCTGTAGTAACTAATTCTGAAACAGTGTTAATTAATTATAGCCCCTGAACTTTTATGTTTAGCAAAATTATGAAGCCTTTCCGGCACAAGCGCCTGATCTCCAGTTCAAAGCTTTGGTACTCTCATCTCATGTCATGTTCAATTCTGAATAATTGATAAAATGGTCGATTTGGGATTCTTATAATCCAGTTTGTAGTTCAATATTCATATCGGGATGTCGATTTATGCACATTTAATAATAATAATAATAATACATTTCATATAGTCCTTTGAATTAGCTACTTAGGCCGAGGTGATATTAGGTTCGTTTGGAGTGATATAACTTGGAAATGGGTTGAGTAAACAATTCAATTTGAATAAGGAATGACGATAAAATAATGTTGGTGCCATCTAAATTAATTTAGTGGTATGAATATTTATATATCTATTATTAAATTCCAATATTGACACGCTAATATGTAGGGCTGGGCATGCGGGCGGATCATCCGCGGGTTTGGGCCGACCCACCCGCATTTGACCCGAATTTCGTTAAGTGGGTGGGTCTGTGGGTGGGTGACGGGTTGCGCTGGGAGGCATCCGCCGGGTGGTGGGTGGGTTGTGGGTGAGTGTGCGGGTGACCCGCTCAACCCAACAGCAAAAAGATCAAAGTCATTGACGCTAGAGAGAGGAGAGTGGAGACGTTAGATATAAACTCGGACTGCTCCTGGAGTTTGAACCTCAAAGCCAACCTTCCAAATAGAGATCCCCTCTTCTTACCTTTACTTTTTCCTCTAATTCTTGTGCCTAGATCACCGCTCTTTCCTTTGTGGAATTATTTTTCTTAGTTCCTTGCACCTAATAATCGTCTCAATCTGTAGAAAACTCTTTCATAATAGAATTTCTATCCAATTTAAGAACTAATTCGACATTTTTCGCCCTATTTCAACTAGGGGTGGACAACGGGAAACGGGTATTTGGGTATACCCAAACCCGTCCCGTTTTTTGAGGGTTACGGGTACTCAAATACCCGTTATATTTGTTGCGGGATGGGATTTGGGATTGACAATCTCAACTTCGGGTACCCGCGGGTTACCCACTAATACCCGTTTGGGTAGTTTGGGTACCCGTATTACCCATTTAAATTATTAAATGTCATTTAGATTTATGCATTTAGCTCAAATCTAAAACCCAACCCAAGTCCAATCATCCAACACATTTCCTATAAGTGACCAGGCCCTCTCTCTCACCTCTCCCTCACTCGGCTCGGCCCTAGGTGACTCGTCTCCAGTCCAATGTCCCTCACAGCCTCACTCGATTTGGCGACTTGCAGCCCGGCCTTAATTGGAGTGAGGAGGACGCTGTTGATGGATAGTTGTATGCCTGTATCTCTCCATTTCCATTCATTTATACATTTGCAACTAGGCAAGATAATGCTACTGCATGTTTTTGCCTTCATTATTTCTTCTGCTGGGTGTATTTTGTAAAGTGTGTCTTGATGGATAGCATGTGCTCAGACCCATTATTGAACTTTGGTGGCAGCTTATGAGAACGTTTATTTGATGTGTAATTTTAATATTTCGTTCTAGGTGATTTTGTAAATGTTTTCATTATTGAACGGGTATAAATGGGTAGTTTGGATACCCGTTATCCATCCCGTACGGATTTACGGGTACCCGTTACCCGTTTGGGTTTGGGATATGAGATGAACTTTAGTCTCAAAATGGGATTAGGTACCTGTTTCAAACCGGACGGGTACCCAATCCCGTCCCGTTTTCCACCCCTAATTTCAACTTCTTGTTTCCTTCGATGATTTTCTTCACCTATTATCATGTCAAGTTGACTCATTTATATATTATATACATTGTGATGTGGGTGAACCCACAAACCCACCCGCATCATCCACCATCCGCCCGACCCAACCCGAGACTAAATGTGGGTGGGTGGTGGGTTAAAAATTACCAATCCGTTTAAGCGCGGGTGGGTGCATATTATGGTCAAAATCCACCCGACCCACCCAATGCCCACCCCTACTAATATGAACATAAAATGTATAATGACCATTTCTGCGATAAATTGACAATGTTGAAATTTGATTGTTACTTTCAAATGGAAATGCTTGTGTGGTTTGAAATGGTGTATCTCAATAAATTGAAAAATGCTTGTTTTTGTAAAGTGTAGTTGGTGAGTTCAAATTTGAAATTAGATTGTTATGGAAAACACCTAAAATGTTTTTCAAGTTTTCTCAAGACCATCCCTTTATAAGGAAAACTTGTGGTGATGATGAAATCCTATCAACAACAACCCCATGGATGGAAGTCAAGAATATGAAACAAAGAAATTCAAATCAATATTCTTAGCCTGTGCAGAGACAAAAACACAACATCCATATCTCCCATACCCTTTTCTGTCTTAAATAACAATAAAATGGAATAAGCCAGCATTGGAGAAAATGATATTTTCATCCAAATTAATGAAATGATTTATCATATATTTGACGTGATTAAATCATAGCCCATAACCTAGCATGATAAATAAATAAATAAACAAATAAATAAATAAATAACATGCAACAACCACATTGAGCTTCACATGCTTCTGCTGTCTTTGCTTGCCCCTTTTCCTCCCATGATGATGATTAACATTATTTTGTTTATGATTGATTGTAATCCTCTCTTGATATCTAAATTAATCTTATTTTAAGTTTTAACCACATTCAAAGAAATGGGGGACAAAAGAAGAAGCTGAAAGGCCAATATTGGTAGACAACTCATGCTTACAAGATACCTTCCTGGTCTCTCGTGAACTCTTCACAAAGCAAATATTTCACATGGATCCCAACCCCACATATAATTTAGTCCCCACACCATTTTGCAATGACAATGTCTGGCTATTGAGATAAGGGCAAATGTGACAGACACTTATGATGTCACAAAGGCCATATGACCAAAACCCGAGCTACTCAATCAAGCGTGAGCCGTTAGATCTGATGCTTCAAAATTAACACCCAATAACAACCAATTTTTTAAAAGGAGCCAAGAAACTTTAACTCGTAAAAATAACACTTCCAATTTTTTTTTATATCATGTACTTCGGCGTTAGGATAATATTTGTTGTGCCACGTCAATTCACTTAATTTGTAATAAATCTTTTTAAATCGAGTTAACTCGCCAACTACACTTTACAAAAACATTAGTGTAATTTCACTCGAGTTGCTAAGTATGCCGGTTAATAAAAACAAATTCAGCTGTATAATTAATTTATCATCACCTTGTCGGCCCAATTCAAGTGTTTCCTTCACTTAAATTATGTTAAAAATTAAAATTGATCTCTGTGTTTAGGAAACTAAAAAAGCAACCGAGCTTTGTTTCATATTCTCTAATTAAAAGCATTGGATTTTAAAGCCATGAAAGTCTGCACTACAAAGAAAAGAGAACATTGGCGGACGCAATACCCACATCAATTACACTGCACAC